ACCGCGACGCAGATCTGACAAGGCCACGCTCTCCTTGCACTCCAGCAATGCATGAGCCTCTGTCTCCACTGCTGCCACACAGAAGCGACACAATCTCCACTCCCATGGTATTTTCTTGACCATCGTCGCGCCGTAACGCGTAAGGCCTCAACAGCGAGGTCATGATCAGAGCAGACCAGCCGTGTTAGCACGACACGATGCGCCAACGTCGGCACACGTAAAATACGGAACTCCATTACGGCTCGGCTCCCTAGTTTGAGTCTATTGGCGGCTATTCTCCTCTGCAGTATCCACGACCTACTGCTCCTTCCACACTCCCTTCGCAAATACTCTTCACAGGACAGCCTTATCCTGTCTTTGACCAAACCATGCCAATCAGGACTTGACAGATCCCCATCCTCCCGCGAGGCCATCACACCGGATACGGCAGATGTGCCAAAACGAAGCGTAGATCACCCGCCCATGACGACTATTCTGGTCGGCTTCCTCGCGATCTTGCCCTCCTCTCGCAGCACGAGCCGCAGTCTCCGGGACTTGGCGATGATGATTTCCTTCGTTGTTTGTTTTCTTCTGAATCCCCTTGAACCAACATCGGAGGCTTTGCTCTGCATGCGCGACACCACGAATGCTTTCCGTTGCCGGGCTTCTGCGATCCAAGTCAAAGACATCTCTCTGTGCGCAGTGCACAGTACGTCTGTTGTCGAGCTGGGACAGATACTGCAGATATACCGCAGCCGCCTATATATATATATTGCAGAGGCATCAAACGTGTCTCCGTGAACAACACCAGAACAACGAGCACAACCCGAGTGCTCTTCACCGAAACTACCGCTGAACCCCCTCCAGGTCTCCAAACTGAGTCGCTTCTCTACCATGAACAAGCTCGCATTTTGCCTCGGCTCGACCTCTTGTGCGTAATCAGCCTGCATATATCAGTGGAGCCGAAATGAAACGGGTTCGTGAAACGCTCAGACATTTGTGGAACTGCTTCAAGTTCAACGATCTACAGGAAACCCAGATAATAACATTGAACGGTTTTACACGTCGATGGATTTGAAGCTCAAGTGCTTAACATAAAATAGATAGATCGATTCGAGCGAACCATACTCATCGTCGACGGTCCCACACCTCTGGCTAATTGACGTGCTGCTGCAGACGTTCGGCTGTGCTCCCCTGGTGCTCCCACGAGGCCGCGACACTCAAACGTCCCGTTTGTAGCTCTTAATGAGCATGTGTAGGCTTTTAGTCTTACTCAAATGGGTTTCAACACAGCGGCATGTATGAAATACTAACAGAACAATACACTGATCTATTGGATAGTAGAAACTGGTGGAACCATTGACCACCACCAGTACCGAATGCGTCGGGAGTCCAGTGCAGCGGGATAGGAGCCCCGGGCGGTGAGCGACTTCTGCAGTGGACTTAGACCAGTACGTTGTCCGAACACCCGAGCTCACGCCTGGCTCACGCGAAGCTGTAGCGCGAATGCCAAGATGAATGTCACCCTGCAGATGCAGGCACGGACTGGTTCCTTGCAGCTCTGTGCAGCTGCTGCAATTGTTCCACGGGCTCGACTTCGACGGATTATGCCTGGTTTCCTCATACACATGTCTTTGTTCATCTAAGTACGTCCAAGGATCATACACATGTCTTTGTTCATCCAAGTACGTCTTCAAGGATCCACAGTTGTTTGACAGGACTGGGTAGTGATCTTCAGTAACAAATGTAGGGCCGGTCTAGATCGGCCGGCGCGGCGATATGTCACCGTCGTCAACAATATGTTTCACAACATCGAGGCGCTTATTTCTGTTACCTACTCCCTACCTCCGACTCCTTTTCCTCTCAATCTCCTCCTCCAGCAACGTAGACTGCACAGCACTCCGGCGATTAGAGATGGATTCCGCGTCGCCGCGCAGTCCTGCTTCAAACTCGAAGCAAGAGGTTATTGGACAGTTAATACCATCTTTCGACGGAAAAGCAATGGCTTCTCCCGTCGCCTCCTCGTCTACTTCTTCCCCGGATTCGGCCGCCTTGTCAAGAAACTCCACCGACCCGATAAATGACCGGATACGTTCTATACCAAACTTGTCAGGCCATGAGCCGACAATACGACGTCAACCACAAAGGAGAGAAGAAGGCGCGTAAAACGAGCAGATGGAGATGTCAACGAAGCTGGGGGACTTGTACTACCACTGACCTATGTTGGGACTAGTGCATTCGATGCGTGAGCGTTCAATACCCCACACCCCACAATAGCTCTCCTGATATAACTTTTGTAGCTCATACACCCTACCCCTACTCATCGGCTCGACGCGGCAGCGTATGTTCGTCCAAATTGACTCTGGCAGTTCCGATCTCGTACGTCTAGTCATCTTCCTTTAGTGTAATGCTAAATAAAGACTGCAGTGGCTCGCGTCGACGTCTTGCAGCGACGCGTCGTGTCCTTCAGCGAGGCGGAGATCCCTATCACCTCCTTCGTACAAAGCCCCCTTCTCTCCCTTTACCGCCCTTCACGAAATCCATTGTACTCTCATCCCCATGCCCCCGTGCAAAGAGGCAATTCTCCTCTCTATGACCCCTCTGCTTCTACGACGCGCATCGAGACCGGCGCACCTATAACTATCACTTACCTTGTCGGGAGCGTACAGGGCATCATCGTCTGGGACACTGTCGGCTTGGATTTGAGCGACTCTATTCAAGGTGAAGACGACGACGATGCAGACGACAACGGCGTTTTCCCCTGGACCATCTCCTCACAGGCATTAGCCGCAGCCTCTGCGCTCACCTCCGAACCTCTACGCCCGAATTTCAGCGGCGTCCTGGGCCTGAGCCCTCCGCTGAACAGTCTGATCTCAAAAGTCATCCCGGCAACTGATGGTGGCAACGGAAGTACAGTGGATGGAGCGAGCTGGGTGAGCAACGTCTGGAGCAGCAGTGGGACTCCTCCACTACAAGAGAGCAACTGGTATATCCGGTTACTGCTGCAGCGCCCCGACGGCGGCGTGCTCAGTCCACCCAAACCTATTATGGCACTAGGATGGAGCCATCATCAGATTCCTATCCCCCGTTTTGGGGCGGCAAACTGGGGAACATGTCGTACACACGCCCCATTGCATCACTGGACTCGGCTACGAACCAGGTTATCGGGACGACGCTATGGCGTGTGGGTCTTTCGGCCCTTTCGGTGGGTGGGAAGCCCATTACCCTCATTTCGTCCTCGTCAACGGCTATACTTGATTCGGGTGTACCGACAATCCTCGCATCGAAAGCCATTGCGGATGGTATATACGGTGCGGTGGGTGTCGGTCCTGGTGGAGACGGCAATTACTACATTCCCTGCAGCACGGAGATCTCGCTTAACGTCACATTAAGAATGAACCTCAGCGGCGGAGATATTGTCTTCCCTGTCCATCCCCTCGACCTCACGGAGCGCCGTGGGGGGAAGGATGAATGCATGGGAACTGTCCAAGCATCCACAGGTATCCCGGATAACGAGATCGTGCTGGGTGTGGCGTTCTTGAAGAGCGTCGAGACTATTTTGGGGTACGACGGCCTCGTAGGCGTGAATGGGAATGGCGGGTCTGGCGGTGTGAAGCTGGGACTCCGGAGTCTCATAGACATCGCTACGGCCGACTCTGAATGGCACCAGGTCAGGGTGGACGGCCATGCACTAGGTGGGTCCCCGGGTTCAGGTGGTAGTGGGAACAGTAACTCGAACAGCAGTGGTGGCGGGATCAGCAAAGTGGGCCTGGTGGCTCTGGCGGTGATAGGAAGTCTCGCGGGCTTTTGTATACTGATGTTCCTTGTGTGGCGCTGGGTGTCTATCCGTCGGGAGAGGCGCGAGCATGGGGACTATGCGACCGCCGCTGCTGGTTCGCCTACCACTCCCTATTTCCCGAATCAGTCGCCACCGTCACCGGAGGATAAGACGTATCTGTTTGGATTGATCAAGAGGAAGAATCGCGGGAAGAGGGATAGCGATGTATACCCGCTGCGGGAGATGAGCGAGGACGAGAAGCGACAGAAGAGGTTCGACGAGTACATAGCGCGACAGCGGAGGTCGGAGTATTCTGATTTTGGCCCTGGGACGGGGCTTGACAAGGATCGAACGTTGGTCGCATCGGGGTCTACGTTCAATAAGGACTTGGCGCTGTTCTCTGGGGATGTGGACGACAAGACAGGGCAGGAGGTTCTGTACAACGGATATGGGAAGGAGGATCCGTGGGATCCGTCGACGGGGCTAGATTGGGGCGGGAGAGTGGGCGAGAGGGATGTGTTACTGAGTACGGAGGGTGCTGAGACGAGAGGCGAGAGAATACCTGCAAAAGAGGACGCTACATGACGGACATTGGTCGGAACCATTCATTACTTACTGACATTATCTTATACCTCCATCTATGTGTAGCATTTAGTACAGCCAATCGTTTACTTCATTGTTCTTATCATGAATGTCATTTGCGAAACGGGAAAATGCAAAGGCTGACTGCTGTTACTAGGGTGGTGCAGGAAACCGTAGGTTGTGATGTTGAAGCTCAGCTGAGGTCTAGGTACATTTTAAACTAGCACATTGGTTCACATGATGGTGCATTGGCGCTTAGACTAGTGGGAAGGCGGATGAGGGCGGCGCGCTGGGCCACATCACGTGCTGGTATCGGGAGGGTGATTGTGGGCAAGAGGGTGGGTAATGAGCCACTAGACTGCATAGATTCATCAGAGGATCAGTAGAACTCAAATTGGATGATTTTGAAGCCACTGGACATGTTCCTAAGGGCCTGAGAAGAAAATTTTGCTTCAGAGCGGGAAAATACGCCACATTGTATCACGTGCGCAGTTAATAACGGTTACTAACTGTTAATAACATACCCCAAAATGAAGGTATATTCCGCCGAGGTTACTAACCGCCTCGGGCAATATACTGCGCATTGCGCAACCCTAGGTTTACTGCGCCAGTGCCGAAAGAGTCAAAGTCAAAGCAAAAAGGATTATTGAGACTAATCAATTGGACACTGTGGGGCTTGAACCCACGACCTCACGCAGCCGAAATTGCAAAGCGTGCGCGCTACCACTGTGCTAAGCGCCCTGTATATCTATGCTAAGCGCAGGATTTAAATGCAGAGGCGTGGCGGACTTTCAGTTGGAAAAGAACAGAGCGAAATCTGCAGAGCTTAGTCAAGAAGAGCATCCTTCCGCAAGACGCCGCAGTATGTGGAGGCTACAGCACCATCTGCAGTCAGGGCATTTGGCACAGTTGGTAGCGCGCACGCTTCGCAATCTCGACTGCGTGAGGTCGTGGGTTCAACTCCCACAGTGTCCATTCGAGGTAATCTTTCACTTTTTTGAGCTCCAATCTGAGGTATCCAGTACGATAACCGGGGAGCCGACCTCCCCAAAGGGAAGGCCGCGTACGTGAATTGACACTCCTGGGAGGGACTACGTAAAGTACATGAAGTAGGGAGGGCAACGGAAAAACTACTGGCGTGACCGGTAAGAGTTTTGATACAAGAAGTAAAATACAAGGACGCACCTGGCGGCGACGCGGTAAGAGCTGGGGACATGTGAGACAATGACCCGCACAGCTGTGCATCCCGCCAGACGTGAGATAGTGAACCGAGTATATCGAACGATCATACACTAGTGAAAGAGATATGATAAACGCGTGAGTAAGAGAAAGAACGTCCGCCGAGGGCGACGCCGATGGCGCACTACGTTAAAGTAAGTAAGAAACATTGCCGAAGGCATGAAGAAGAAACTCACTTGGTTTGTTTTGAGACCCGAGGGGTAACAAACCACCGACACCTCTTAGGGACCTAGAGTACTAGGCAGAGGTATCGCAGAGTGAGTAAAAGGAGAGTCGACGATATGGGGAACTCACCTCATATTGGCCTTCTGTAATCCTAGATTAAAATCGACCAATCTGAGGTATCCAGTACGATAACCGGGGAGCCGACCTCCCCAAAGGGAAGGCCGCGTACGTGAATTGACACTCCTAATAGGGTACTGAAAAATTTTTTTGGGGGAAAGGTGATCGGAAGATGGTATCGATTCTCGTTGTTGTCGTGCCCGTGAAAGAGCAACGCCTGGAGAATGATGGGGTTCTTCCGGATGTAAATCTGGAAGGTGTCGGACGCCCATCGACCCGCTGCTTGAATGAGATGAGGGGCAGTGCCATCCTCAGCCATTGCAGTAGCGCCGCCGGCTCTCATAGACTGGCCGGCGAAGTCGAGATTAGGTTCTAACTGCCGAAGGCGTGTCATGAACCATGACCTCGTGGGGACGGCGTTTTTCGACGTGATCCAGAGGAAAGGATTGACGCGCGACACTTTGTCATGCGACGCGATATAGCGACGGAAGATAGGTGCCGGGTCTAAGTTACCGCGCCGAAGGATTCGGATTTTGCTGCCTTCAAAGAAACGGTCCGCCTTGTGGTAAGGTAAGTCGAAACCGTAACCGCGTTCGAGGTTGATGACCGTCGAGCGAAGGGAGCACTTCCTATAATCCCTGATCGCGATGTTGTCCGATACGGACAACTCTCCAAGACGCATAAGACCCATAAATCCAGTATATAGCATCGCGACGAAGAGAAGGTCGTCGTGGGAAGCATGGCGTCGCAGAGAGTTGGTTGCTGTGAACAGATGGTCTCGAGCCAGTGGGAGTTTCCTCTTCACTGCTGACTTGAAACGTTTACGACAACCGGAGAGGGAACGTTTGACCAGGTGAGAGCCGCGGATGGCTCGGACATGGGGGAAATACGGCTCAAGCTTATTACAAATGCCTGAGAGGTAAGTCGCGACAGAGTCGGGTTTGATGTGAGCCGACATATAGACGACGAAGAAGGATAGAGTGTCCTCGGTCGGGTCGACTGGTAGCTGGTGCATAGAGCAGAAGGAGAGGTAAGAATTTAAGCCAGAATCGTAGTTAGCGCTGGTGGAAATGTCGATCGCGAGTCCAAGCGCAATTGCTCGCTCATGGACAAGCTTTTCACGGGACCAAGGTTCCCTATGAGGTTGCCTTGGCCTCCGTAACTGCGGAATCTTCATTTTTGGGCTGCCCCCAGCGTCGTTCGAGGGGGTTTAAATGATTCGACTATGAGTCGAGGAGTTAGGGCGTGCACAGCGTCGAGGTTGCCGACGAAATCCACGCGGGAGAGCGCGTCAGCGACGGTGTTGTGTTCACGTGGGACGTGAAGGACACGAAGGTCAATATTCGAGCGCGTGCGGATGTCGACAGCCGTTAAGAGGATATCGTTGTACTCTGGGAGCGCGCGTAGAGTGTCGAAGATGTTTACTGTATTAGAGTTGTCAGTGAATATTGTCAGACGGGCAGGAGATAATTCAGTGGCAAAGAAGGCCAGACCTGATTTCTCGTACCAGTGCAACGCTGACAGAACACACAGCGCCTCCCAATAGAAGATCCGATCTCTCATGCTGTCACCTTCGACAGGGCAGGAGAAACCGAGATCCAAGGCAGGAATCCAGAAGCCCATGCCTGTTAGAGACGCGTCGCAAAACATGGTCAAGTTCGCCTCGGTAAACGGGTTCCAATCAAGGTTAGCAAAGAACAACATGCCAGACGAGGCCTGGACATGGTTGACAAACCAAAGGAGTTCCCGAATAAGAGGCTTGTTGAGCCGTATCTGTGCGTGAGCTCGGTGTTTACCAGACATTTTGGCATAAAGGTTGCAGAGCGCAGGTTTAAAGAGCGGAAAGACGTTTAATGACCAGTTGATCCAGCCGGCGAGTTGCTGGAACTCGTGGAGGGTTCGACGACGACGTGGAGACTTCGCGAAATCGCGAACATGGTCGACGAGGTCTGACTTCGACTCTGCGGGAAGAGTCGCCGTTAGCTTGTTAGGATCAACAAGGAAGCCAATTATGACAAGGATCTCACCCCAAACTTGCTTTTTAAGCTTGTGTGGAATACCTAGCCAGTCCCAGAGTAAAAGCATACGTGTTTGATCCGTCGGAAAGAATTGTTGGTACGGTTCATACCAACGCATGTCGTCGACGAGTCCAACACTGAAACAGTCGTCAACGTAGCAGCATAGGAAAGTCATGTTAAGAAAACAGATGGCGATCCATACCACAAGTCCCATGAAAGACGCCCATGCTCGCGGCGAACCACAGTTGCCGAAACAGGCACGCCAATCAACGAAACGTAACCACGTTGATTTCTCATCTCTACTTCCACCACTACCCATGGAACGAATATTCGCTGTGACAACCTGCTTTATTTGCCACAACGGGTGAATTGGAATATTTCTGAACGCACCCGCGACGTCAGATTTCCATAGGAGGAACCGTTTTCCTGGATGAAGTTGGGTGAAGAAGAGAAGTAGCGGGATGAAGACGAGGAGTGAATCGAGGCGAGCACCCTTCGTCTCTGCTTTGTGCACCATGTTATTCTGACAGAACTGGCCTGCAGATTGGTTAGCGACCAGCCGGAGATCGTCAGAGTGGGGTTTCGGGACCGCGATGTTAGGTGTCGTGTACATACCAGGTAGCAGGTCGGGGCCGAACGACGGTGAGTGTTGGCCTTTCTGTGCTTCCTCGTTGCACTGACTAAGAACAAAGTCGCGCTCCTTTTCAGACGGGATGTTAGCCCAAGCATTATCCCACGTCTCAGGAAAATCTCCTGTAGGGTTAGTGTCGGCCCATGGCCAAAGACCGACTCGCAACATACGGACTACGGATGCTACGAAGTGACGGTTAGGATGTAGGGTCAAGCAACTGGCAAACCGGTCAACATTAATGGGAGTAGATACATGGAACAGGTGCGGGTTCTCATGAATCGTTCGTAGTACATGAGGTTGATATTCTTTATCAGGAGGCCGCGGAAGCGGCTTATCAACCTCTGTGTACCACGCCGTCCGACTGCCTTGTGGTGTGGCCTTCCTCCAACCGAATCCTCGCAGATAACGCGGCAAGAAACTCCCTGCCGCGACACGCTCGTTTCCTCCCTCATACTCTCTCTCCACATCTCCATCACCGTCGAAACTGTCGACAAACTCACACGCCGCCTGCCATATTCCTGAAATAAAAGAGCAACTAGCCAAAGGCTCAGCTACTCTTCGATTTGCAGGCACTGGCGACGTGTGGTCCGTTGCAGGTGCTGCAGACGTGCTGTCTGGGGCACGGGTTTCGGGGGCAGCGTCCTTCATTCCAATTGTTACAGATTTCTCGCTTCTTTCCCGACTTGGTTCTTTTGGATCTTCCTTGGCCGCCCGTGTCGCCTCCAGTTCCCTCGGGATCATTGTAGCGGACTCCGTCTCGGTCGAGGAACGCCATGCGTAGGCGACCGAGTTCGGGGTGGCTCCACTGGTCGAATAGAATCCCGGGTTGGAAGCGATGACTTTGCGGGCGGCGATATCGTACGCGATAACTCTGGTGTGGGAGTCTTCGGTCTTCGCGGTGAAGAGGTCATCGATATGCTGTCGCCAGCTACGGAGTTCCTCTCGTCTGAAGGGGAAGACTGTCTCGACAGCCGCGCTATATTTATCAAAGCAGCGGAACCAGACGATAGAAGAGCTAACCGTCTTCTTGTCCGCGCGGCGTCCCAAGGCTTGCTGCAACGTCGACGCAGCTGCTCCGAGCGGAGCGGGGTCGAGCTCAAGCTTGGTTGAGAAGAAGAAGGCGTTGACCTCGTCAAAGTCGACGGCTTCATCAAGCAGGATTTTCTTCCAGAGTGCTTTTGGGAAGACTGGAGCAATTCCTGAGCGCAAGAGGCTGTGCAAGGCTTCTTTGATGTCGAGTGTGTGATTCTCGACACATTGGCGGACGAGTTTATGCTGAGCAGAGAGGGTGACATCTTTGAGGAGGGCTGCTGGGGCCCATCCGAAAAGTAACTCGTCCTGGTCGTCGCTGCTTCCGGATTGGGAGGAGTGAGACCGATGGTGGTGTTTTTTGCCATGATGGTGTTTGGGCTGACGTGGTTCGCCCTCGGTGTCAGAGTCGGAACTGTCAGAAGGGGAAGGACCATCTCGTCGCTGCTTCTTTTGAGCTGGACGCTGGGTAACGGGTGGTTCCTCCCCGTCACTGGTGTCTCGGAGGGTTCCTTCGGGTGTCTCATCACCATGGGTAACGT